AGCGAAAACTGGAGCGCTCGGCGCGGGATTGCTCCGGGCGACAGCCTGCGCGCCGCAAATGTGACGATGCTTGTATGCTACAGATACATAAGTATGTTTAATTCATATTTACTTCTGAAATATCAATGAGATTGATCAAAGCACCCGCACCATTACCTGCCTATCCGCGGAAGCTAACAGGTTGGCTTTCAGAGCCAGCCCCAAGCCCGCTGCGGGCACAGTGTGATGGGTTTCAGGGCACAGATGTGTGCCATCCAGCCAAGCACCGGCAGCACTGCACGTAGAACACACTCAGTATTGGTGAGATCATGTGTAAGCACGATGAGATTATATATAAGCATATACGTAAAGGACTGTGTGCAGGGCACCTCATTTTTCCTTCTGAAGGAAGAAGGGAAAATGACCCAGGATGCCCTACACAAATGGAAAATCTGAGTGAGGGACATTTTACTTTGTTTCCCCTCCTTAAGCCTCCGTAGAGAGGTTTTACTAATATTGCATTTAGTACTTGGCATAGGATAGTGTTAATTATTTTAAGACTATTCTTAGGTTTGTGAAACTAAACACTTGCATACTCTTTCAGTATAGATTGGATCTTGTGGTAAAACTGCAGTAATTAGAGTTGTGTCAAGCAGTGCCAATTTATACGTAATTCATCAAAACTACCTAAGTTGTTATAGGCACAGTTCCATATGCAGCTCAGGCAATGGCTGGGCTTTAATCATCACTGGAACCTGGTCTTCTTGTTCTATCCTGGAAGAGGGACAAGTAGCTTTTCCCAAAAAGTTAGAGCTCCATGAAGGTCATTTCATAAAAGTAGATCTCAGCTCTGAGGGTGCTGTGTTGGTTATAAGGATGACATAACAGTGAGGGTAATGGTGTGGTGATACCTCTCTGGCATTTCCTTCACTCTCCATGTCAACCGTGCAGCTGTTTTCTATGAAAACAGTGCTAGACAGAGGATGTCAGTACAGATTAGGAGACTGAGGGTATATGCAAACTATTAAGTTATATTCTCAATTTGCATGCAGATATGAAGCACTACCAGGTGAGTTTATGATGCAGTAATTGCCTGTTTCTGAAGATTGTAAAATTGGCTAGCAGCATGAAAAAGGACATTTGACTAACTCCAGAAAAGGCACTACATATTTTAATCTTAAAATTTTCTGTTATTTTTGCCCTTGCTTTTTTTTTAAAGGAGAAAATCAACCCTTTTCAAATTTGCAGCATGAGTCACTTTCTTTAGAAAGTGGGGCTTTATGCATTACAAAGGCAAGTCTAACTCCTTTCCTTGCCTGTTCCCATAGTAACTCTTCCAGCTGATGCCCCTGTGAAGACTGTGTTCCAAGTAACACCAAAGCCTTCAAATGCTGAACTACTCTGCAGTAATGAAGAATATTTTAAAAGTTTGTGAAACTGTTGAAAACACAGAAAAGTACTAACACTTGCAAAATGTGAAGCCTCACAAGACTTCCTTTTATTCAAGGGTGATTTGATGTTAGTACATAGCTGTTACAAGAGTTAGCTGTGATGATACCGCACCGCTGTGGCGGCTGTGAACATCACTCAGCCTCTTTGTAAAGGGGACAGAATGCGAGGGTGACCTTGCAGGATTTTTGCAGGCAGCAATGTTGCTGTAGAAACAATGGCAGACTATTCAGTGCTCAACACGGATGTCTCGGACATCTCACAAACAGCAACAGCAGGAGAATGGCCTGTAACGTATTCTAGTTTTCATTTGTTCAGCGTCAGGCTAGGGAAAACCATCTTGGCAAGCCAGAGTACTCTCATGAAAGAAAAGAACACTGAGAAGCAACAATCCATGTAGTGTGAAGAGAAATTAAAAAGATAAGTAGTGAAATTTCCTTATTTTCACCAATCCTTAAGCAGCTTTCTGAAACTGAAGTTCAACATTGGAACAGTGCTGCTGTGTTTAAAAAAAAATAATTTAAAAAATCTGGTATTTAATTGCAGCTTTTACTAAACTTTTTAAAATTCCCTATTCTTCTGTCATCTGTTCCACTGGTACACCTACCACTTTCTTTCCGCAACACAAAGTAGATTGGTTGTTTTCATATTTAGTCTGTAGCACTGTTCAAGTAAAATGTAAATAAGTCCTGAACAAAGAAATGTTAACTCTCCTCTCCTCCAGAATTAAATAGAATGTAATGTTAGTTCTGTCAATTTTGCTGGAAAGACTCACTGCAATTTAGAGTAGCAGCACTGAGAACTGTCATAGGATGTTCTATTCCCCCTATTAGTAAAGTCGATTACTCACTTTTCTCTACATCCTTGATTTCTGAAGCCCCACAGAACAATTATCGTCCTTTCTGCAACATAATGCCACTGTTGTCTCAGCTCCTTGCATTATACCTCTATCCAGGGATAACCAGAAAGAACAAGAGGCAGTGGTTTTCATTTCTTAAAAATTAGATAATGCAGTATCACATGAAGAATCACAGGCCAAATGTTGATGGAAGGAGAACAGTGTTCAATTTGATCTTGAAATCTGCTTATTGGCAGCACAAATAAGTGGGAATAACTATTTTTTAACCTCATCTCTTGTAGTGGCTGGTAACTAGCACCATTTTCCACTTGGCTCTCTAGCTGCAAGGAATGGCTATGGAAGATCCTGACAAGAAGACTGAAGTAGTGCTGCTGGCCTGTGGGTCCTTCAATCCCATTACCAACATGCATCTAAGGCTCTTTGAGCTGGCTAAAGACTACTTCCATGAAACAGGTAGGATGGTAATTTATATAATTCAAAACAGCTCTGATAACTAGACACTTAAGGTGAATGTTTTGTGTATATGAATGCCTGCTTGACAGTGACAGACATTTTTGGAAATACTAATTAGATATGGGACCTGGTATGCATGTATGTATCGTACAAAATCACGTAGGCCACATACAGGAGAGAACAGTCTTATATGCAGGAGAGAACAATCTTATATGTGTGGCTTATTGCTAATTTTAATGAGCTAAAGCATAAATTATACAGTTTTTCTTTATAGAAATATATCTTTCTAATATATCTAAATCTTTGATTGTGCTGCCTTGCACAATGGCAGAAGTATACAGTACTTTTCCACTGGGCTGGCTATCAGAGCTGGCGTTGGTGTTCTTAGGGATTGCAGTGAATAGTGGTTACGTGGTAGTTTAACTACAATACAGTGGAAGTAACATCTGCTCAACCACTTTTCATGTTCTTCTGTGATGTGTTTTTTCCACAGGAAAATACAAAGTAATCAAAGGAATAATTTCACCAGTAGGGGATGCATATAAGAAGAAAGGTCTGATCAGTGCGAATCACCGAGTAGCTATGGCAAAACTGGCTACAAAAAACTCAGATTGGGTGGAAGTTGATGATTGGGAAAGCAGCCAGAGTGAGTGGTTGGAAACACTAAAAGTTTTAAGGTATTCTTCAGCCAAACCCAAAAAAGTCTCAAGAACCTATAGAGGGATAAGGAATGGTGTTAGCTCCAACAAGTTAGAATAATAATGGGCTAACCCCAAATCCCATGAATAGACTCAGTGAAGTCAGAAGTACTAATTATATGAGCATTGTAAATGAGAGATTGCACCATTAGTCCTAAACATACAAAAAATAAGCCTGTGAACTATTTCTAAGCTGTATTGTTTCTGAGGTTTTATTCAAATTTTGTGCTGAGAAAGTCTTCATGAGGAAGGACAAGAGACTAGAATAGGGCAGACACATGCTACACGAGCTTCCCTCATTTGATTCCAATTGTGCTATGCTGCTCATTTGTGTATTTAAAGGATGGCATGAGAATGGTCTGAAAGAGTATATTTTTTAAAGTTTTTTACTCTTTCAGTCATTGCTACTTCACTGAAGTTATTCTTTTTTAAAACAAATTTTTATTAAAAAAGAAACAAACCAACCTTGTAGTTGTTGCTTTGAAATCTTTGCGCTTTCACCGTCTTATGACCCACCTCTCAGACATCCCTGTTCCAGCAGAACAGTTCTTGGATGGATTCTCTCTGAAAATACTGCAGAAGGAAGTGGTGAAAAGATTATTTCGTAGGTTATACTCTTCTCTATATTCTCCCACATCTTTATAATACCTAAAATTAATCTGTTTTGCAGGTACAATCATCAAAAGCTTTTATCTCCTGAACCCACTAATAGTCTGCAGAATGCTATACCTTTAACAAAGCCGGGACGGAAGAGGAAACAGGAACCAAACAGGCATGACCCCATTAAAAAGAAAAATCAGAGTACAGATATAAAAAGTTAAGTCTGTTTGCAAATTAAATGTGTAACAATACTTGCTATTTCAAGGGAATTGCGCTGATGAGTAACTTTTTTTAATGCTTGTTCTTGGTTCTGATTTCACTGATTAAGTTTATTCCTTTAGATCCCACAGCATAAAGCAGTAGGGTTTGTAACAAAGACAACTGTAAGGGTAAAGTATATAGGACATGAAAAATGCTCAAGATAATAGAAATTTGAACTGAAAAAGGTCTGAGCTATCCATGTTACCTGCAGAACTTTGCTAAACTGTAGTTACAGCTGAGACTTCTGGATCATATTATAAGTTGCTGAAGAAAGAAGGGACAGGATTAAGTCCTGAAATTCAAAATGTATCTGGGTACAGGATCATTTAAAATTGTAATTTAATACTTCATACAACAGACGTAGCTTGGCTTTGTAATATTAGGTAGCATTTATTTTGCTTACTGCTTTTAGATCTTAATTTTAGTACTCTCCAATAACCTTTTTTTCAGAAAAATCCTGTATCGAGGCTGCTAACTATAAATTATATACTCTGAATCTTTTTTTTTTTTAATTTCATCCCATTGTCCCATATCAACCAAAGCTACAGAGAGGTAGCCTAGAAATGAAATGTCCCCATCAATGTTAGCTAAAATCTGGTGGTGTAAACCAAACCCTGTTTCTCACTTATTTTTCTTTTTAAGGTGTCACACAGGTTAAACTGCTTTGTGGAAGTGACATGCTGGAATCTTTTGGGATCCCCAATCTGTGGAAGGTGGAGGACATCACTGAAATTTTGGAAAATCATGGCCTTGTATGCATCAGTAGGCCTGGACACAACGTTCAGAAATTCATCTATGAATCTGATCTTTTGTGGAGACATAAGAATAACATTCACCTTGTGGAAGAATGGATCACAAATGACATTTCCTCCACCAAGATTAGGAGAGCGCTGCGGAGGGGCCAGAGCATTCGTTACCTAGTACCTGATGAAGTTCAAGCATACATAGAAAAAAATGATCTGTATAGTCCAGAGAGTGAAGACAGGAATGCTGGGGTTGTCTTGGCTCCCTTACAGAAATACGCGAGTGATTCCAAGAACTAACAGGCACCATACAACTAACTTACTTTCTGCTGTGAAAAAAGCTACAGTTCAGTACAGGAAAATGTGTTTTTTGGGGATTGAGTTTTTGTTTGGGTTTTTTTTAAGTAAATAGTGGGCTAGTTCTGTGGCTTTAGTACATATGTAGTTGCTGTTGAGGTTTGGTGCACTCAATAATTGGACCTACACAATGTTTTTAAAATCCAGGAATAAGATTTTCACATTTAAACATTTTATCACAGTGCAGTGAACTAAGTATAAGAATTCACACTTGCATATGAGAATTACAAATTAACAAACAAAACTAATGAAAATGTTCTTAGTTTTAACAGGGACTGCTCTGACTGTTATTTATAAAATACACAAATATTTTTAATAACTTAGGGTGTCTTTAAAAAAAGTCATTTAATTTCAAAATGTACCTCTTACTGATAGTAAATCTATAGAACTCATTTTTTAAAAAATTGCCAACATGTGGTGCACCTCAAAGAAATTATTTAGCTCTATCCTGGAAGGGAAAAATTTACTCCTGGCTGTAGTGGTGCTAGATATACCGTGCTTTGAGCTGCCTGCCTTTCAAATATGTGGTCTGTTTATCTGCTGTCATGCCATTTGCTCCAAAAAATGCCTTTGTGCTTTACTTTTCCACTCGTGTTTCCAGAGCTGTACATTAACCTCAGCACTGTTTCTCCTGGAAGGACAGCCCTACTTCAGAAACTGGCTTGTAGCCATTGATTTAATGGATAGAAATTAATAATAGTATCATTGCACTGATTCTCAGACAGTTGTCCCTTTATTTCAAATAATAACTGAACTTTTGCTTTTGAGCCAAATGTATATAACCAGAATTGTTTTCTGTAGCTGGAGTTGAGAAGAAATAGTAGGATATTAAGACTGTACATAAGTGAAATGTTTTTCTTTGCTAGAAATCCGGTTTTGAATCTAATGGTATATTGTCTGTATTACGTGATTATAGAGGCACTGTGAATGTCATGGTGATAGAATTCTACCTCCCTTTATTTGCCGTCATCCCATTTTTGTTTGGATCATGTGCCTTATTAAAAATGTCTAAGGTTCCAAGACACTAGCTAATGGATCCACAGCTTTTTCATACGACCTCTGTAAGATGACTGTTCACGTTTTTCAGATCAACAAATCCAGCAGAATGTGAGACTCGGGGCAGGAAACCTAGATGCTGTTGGGCAAGGCAGGAACATGGTCCAGGATCTTAATAGTGACGACCCGTCATCCTCCTTCCCTGGATCCCCAAAGAGCTGAGGCAGAGCTGTAGGATTCCCTAGGAGTTTAGGGTGAGTCTGGAAGCTAGAAGCCAAACACAGAACATCACGGGTGGCCCTAGGACCTGCAAGGCTCATATAAAAGCTAGCAGGGGAGTCAAGACAATATCAGGAAAACCTGTAACTCACAGTGGAACAAGCATCAGCCCTGCAAACTTGGAGCCCCGCATGAAATTCTGCAGTTACCATACACTAGAACATCTATGTTTCGCCAGCTTCAGCCTGTAAAGGTGGCTGTCCACAGAGAATCTACAAGGAGATTAGTGTAATAGAATGAAGGCAGGGTTTTTTCTTGGTGATTCCTGCATTGAATGTGCTCTGCCTGCCATTTTTCCCCTAGAGCTCAGGCAAGCTTACCCTGTTCTTTGATAATGTGGCTGGCTTCATTTACAACTGTTATAAATTGTTAAATTATGCCCCCCATGACACCTTAGCAATCAAGCTGCCATAACTGATGGAAGATAACGGTAATATTGATGGCATATGGGAAAGGACAAGATCTACCTTCCTCTTTTGCTCACTGTATGACTGACAAGAGTAGAGAGCAAAAAAGATTTATTTTCAGCATTCAAGTCAGACAGTGTGCTTCTGAATAAACAGAGCATATCTTTCTAATGGGAAGGCACCCTATTTATGTGGTCATTTTTCACAGTAAAACTGCACTTTAAGTTTATTCTTCTAAATAATGATGCTGGTGTATGGTGGTGCACTTTGTGTAATTCTAGAGAAAATGCAAATTCAATAGGATGTTTTATAAAGCTTTGGTCTTCAAACAGTTCTGTTTCACTGGGTTTTAATGTAGTTATGTGTGATGTGTCTTTCAATAAAATAAATTGCATGTAACATGCTGATTTTAGTCATCCTGTTATTAACCAAATCTGATGTCTGCTGAGTGCATGATTTTTAAGCAGGTAGAATGATGTCGGTGCAGTTTTGTCTATACAAAACAGAACATTGTTAAAAAATTACACTGACTGCTGAATATGGATCTTTTATTTTCCTAGTGGGATCCAGAAACCTGCCTGCTACAACACTAGAAGTAACCACACACTGGCAATGTACTGTTCCAATCGGTTATAAATATCAGCATCACAGTCAGTGATGTGGCATATTCAAAAATGTTAGACAGGTATATCTTTCAAGAGCAGACAAGAAAAGATATAAAGGAAAACCTGTATATTTGAAAATGTAAGGTTTGTGAGTAATGCAGTTCACTGAACTTCTTTATAAAAAGAGTTCTAATGCATTCACAGATGTTCTACAAGCAAAAATTAGGCTTTTTTTTTTTTTTTTAATCACTGCATTGGGTTCTGCTCTATTAAGAGAACATATCTCCCTTATACCACATGTGTAATTCAGACTCAACATTTATTTTATAAATGCAACAGCAGCAGGAACCACTTTACTTCTGTAATGAGGCCACATCCTTCATTAAATGTGTTATATGCTCAATGCTGCATAGCAGATAAGATGGAAATGGAAAAAAAAATATTTCTGTAAAAAGAAAATTGGGAATTTGTAAGGCAGAAAGAAATGAACTATCATAGGATGTGGCCATGTAGCCAGGGCACTTGGCAGTTCTTCCAAAAAGTTCCAAAGGCAATTCTTTGTCTAAGCCTTGAAATAGTAACCCAAATACCCTTTATAAGTCTTAGTTTGAGATTAAGTACTGATTTACAGGAAGAAGCACCCCATCCCAGATAATCTGTGTAATCTTAATTTTCAACTAAAATGTAACATCCAGGCTTTTACACAGGACTCATTCAAGTACTGACTTCTCTTTACTTGGAAGAGTCAGTAGTATTGCAACAGTGCTTTACTACCATAACCTCGTAGCAACAAATTATGGGTGAAATGTTACTATCTGAGTCCAACGGAAACAATTTGCATTTCTTTGTGCCATTCCTAGTTTAGTATAGGTTAGAGAACAATATCCATCTGCAAATAGGAAACAAGCTCTGACGTCCTAATTTCCTGCTCGCCTGATTCTGTGAGTCATGTAGGTCAAACTGTCAACTCCAAAAATTTAGCTAAAGTTCAGAGAAACCTAATTTTCTCTGCCAAATATTATCTTTTTATACAACCTAACCCAAGTCAGTAAATAGATACATGTAGTAGCTATAGGTGAGTTTCCTCATTCACGATTCAGAATACCAAATTCCCTTTTTACTAGGGTAGCAACACAGGCAAGATTTCCCTCACCCATCAATTTTGTGATTTTCTTTTAATGCAGCCTTCATTGTGGTGCTCAGTACTGTCCCATCTGACCGTTTTGTCTCTTCAGAGATTTCTTTCCCTTCTTGACTAAAGTCCAACACTGAAGCTTACCTGCTGCATCTGTGCTCTACTCCCTATATGCTCTGCCACAATGTATAACATCAAATAAAACATCAGTGGGAATAACTTATCTCTAGAACTGTGTCAGAGGCACTGCTTTAAAATTTGCTAATACAATAGCATCCACAGTTTAACAGTCAATCCCTGTCTGTTTAAATACAGCATGTATTTACAGCGGGTACTTCACCTTTTCATCAAATATGTAGATTTTACATCGTAAAGCCACGGATCTAATATACATGCAGGGAATTTTAGTAATGACAAAATGTGTCCAAGATTCCCATTCAACTATACAAGATGGATGCAAATGGTTTAAACCACTTGGTTTGCATTGCGACTCTTGGGCTATTAACATTTGCTCCACACAAACATTTCAGAAACTGTGAACTTTTCCCTCCAATGCAGCTGAAGCTGATGTGCAAATACCCTCTCACCTATTGGCTCTGCAACGACGTCCTTCCCCTCCATCAGAAAGGCTCTGGGATGTAATCCCACCCACAGTCTTCCTTATAAAAGGTCTGGTTGGAAAACTGTTTCTTCATTTTTACTTTTTGGTCAGAGGTTGATTGTGGTTTTTTCCCTCAGTTTGGCAATGCCTGTGGATTTCAGTGGGACCTGGAACCTCATCAGCAATGACAACTTTGAAGGTTACATGGTGGCCTTAGGTAGGTGAAAATACCTGGTTCTATCCTTTGTCCCTTCCCCCAGAATGGTCCTCCTGAATTTTAAGAGTCTGAGTTCTTCTAATAGATATTGCTGAAGCTATTTTTTTATCTGGAAAAACAATAGAAGGATCTTTGTTTATTGAGAAACAGACAGGATTTTACTTTAGCCTGTCGCCCAAGTGTCCTTGCAGCTTTCAGGAATTTCTCAGCCTAGTATTTTTTAAAAGTAGAATTTTTGCATAACTTGCATCAGAGACAGGGAAGAGTTTGCCCTGTTCACTCAATTTCTCTTGCTTTGGAGCAGAACCTACAGAACCTGTGTCTAGGATTAATTCAATGTTAAGTAAAAAAAAGTGCTTGGGTATTTCCCACTTCGAGGCAGTTGTTCAGCTTAGTGTAATTTATCTTTAAACAGCCTAAAAAATACTTCTCTCATTACTGTGACTTGTTGATAAGTCTCTCTAATCGTCCCTTTTCTGGTGTCCTTGAAGCTTACCTCTTACCTTGCTCAGATCTTTCAGAGAAAGAGATTAACAGTGCCCTAATGGGGAACGAAGAAAGTTCTCAGTACTTTATTAGTTTCCTTGTACAAAGCTAATTGCAGACTGTGACAGCAGGCAACCTTGGGTGCTGTCTGCTCTTCTCCCTGCCTCTCCCCCTCAGGCATGTCCTGAAAACAAGCCCAGGTAATTAATTTAAGGAA